TTTAGAACAATTTATGGAGTTTGATGAAGACCACTCTGGAGACATAGGTGAGCCTGAAAATAAGACAACAAAAATGTATTCATTTCTTTCTCTCTCCCTCAGATATAATGGAGCTCAAACGAATGATGGAGAAACTGGGTCAAGCTAAGACGCACCTGGAGCTGAAGAAGATGATCCAAGAAGTAGACACAACTAAAAAAGGTAAACTGAGGGGAAAGGAGAGGAAGTGGTAAGCCATTGAAGTATATCGAGTAAAAACAGATGTCTGGAACATATTCTAACATGTGACCATCAATATGTACATGTTTACACTCACATGCACTACACAGGCACCATCAACTATCCCGACTTCCTAACAATGATGCTTGGAAAAAAGAACAGCATACTGAAGCTGTAAGTCCGATACTCATACTCCCATATTTCAGTACCAAATACGAATCTTGCTATCTTAGGATCCTAAAGTTTGAAGAGATGAAGAAAGAAAAGGAAAGACCAAAAGGCGTAGCACCCAAGAAATCACTAGCAGATTTGCCTTGAGAAGACAGCTCAGCTATAGTACGCACATAGTTAAGAAAACTGCGAAATAATTTGCATCTTGTATTGTAATCGCTACAAAATAACACACAATAATAATAATGATAATAATAGTAGTAGCAAGCGTCTTATCGAGTGGAAATTTTTTGAATTTTATTTTTGTAAAAGAATAAAGCAATCAAACTAAACCTAATATCACTAGAGCTATCAGATGATTGTAAACAAACCATCCTACCTACAAATACTACAGCTTTATACTACCACTACTACTAAATTGTTAAAGTTCAAAGTTCACTACTTGGTTTTGCTATTAAAGTGGAGAGCTCAAAATGGCCACACCTCTCTCGTAATAGGCGTGGTCCCCGTCAGCGGAAACTCCGTCGGCATCAAAGGAAAGGGTAAAGAGCAAGACAGAACGAGTTTGGTTCAAATAAACGGGCAAAACAACCTAAAAAAACATTAAAAAATAGACTCTAATATATCACTTGTTACTCATAAGGGACAGATAGTGTTTGAACTTCAAGTAAAGGTACATGCACTTATTAGGGAAGGAGATTATGATCTTTTCCATTGAAGGGATAAACACTAACAGATTATTATCATAAAAACACACACACAACATACCATATAAACACACTATGTTTACTAACCATAGACCCTTCTACTATCATACACTTAAACCCATATGTATATGTAACGGCATCTACAAATAAGCTCTCATCCTTTTTGTAAGCTCTCTAGACCTTTACTAGTAATTTCCTGTACACTTCACTCTTCTACTTAAACACATATGTATAAAATATATATGTAATGGCATATAATGGTGAATAAACAAGGCCAGCCACAGATAAAGTCACTACAGGACAATCTTTCCTCTCTCTCCCTCTTCCTATATACCTTTCCTAGCGATTTCTTATACGCTTCAGAAGGATTCACTCTAACCCACTTCAGACAAGTGAGAGGAAGCTCATTGACAATGGTGGCAGTTAGTGACAGCCTATTGGCGGTACATTTAGCTCCTTGTAGTCTCAATCCAGTGACACCAAAACTACAGTCATCCAATTGACCCTATAGAGATTGGACAAACATGAACGTGACATAACAACAATACAAATAATATGGGAAAACGAAGTGTAATAGTGCCAAATGTAAACTCTATGGAAATGCTATGTTTGGTAATAATATGATTATAAATTCATAGTGAAGATAGTGGTGTTATCCTCATGATAATACAGGCACTATCAGAAGAAAAAACTATTTTTAATTTCTACTTTATAAAGTAAAGAAGCACAATAGAATATGTGAAATGAATGTATACACACAACACAGTATGAGTTTAATTGTGTATGTACATGTATGTATTTTATACCTTAAAATCTACCAGTACTTCAAGGAATAGTTCTTCAAGTGACCAGGAGTTAGCTTGAGCTACAAATTGTCTTGTGGCCGTGATGTAGGCCTCAGGAGTAAACAGACCACCCAACCAGACATTAACAGACTGTGAGAATAGGAGAGAGAGGGAGGGAGAGAGAGAGAGAGAGAGAGAGAGGGAGAGAGAGAGAGGGGGAGAGAGAGAGAGGGGGGGAGAGAGAGAGGGAGAGAGAGAGAGAGGGGGGGGGGAGAGAGGTGAAAGGGGAAGTGAAAGACACATAGTTACAATTTTCACAGGTCAATAAGCAACAAAGATTATATATAATGTATAAATTTGTTCAATTTGGCAAGCGATGTATGTATACTACAAAGTAGAGGCGGATAGCAGCTGCCAGTTTACCGCTTGCACGGATTACATGAAACAAACTACTATAACTATGTACATGCAAACAAAAAACCAGAAAAGGAATAAGTAGCTGGAATTGTACTACTACTACTACTACTAATATTTAATATTAAAACAAATAAAGCAAGAATAGTGAAATTGTCTCATTTCTTTTTATCATTACTTTTAAAACATGAGATCCTTCGTTAAGGACTTGATTCGATATTGATTGAAGTTGCTTGACTCTCTCACTGAAATCAACGACCCACTGCAATACAGTAAGACCGGGTGGAACAATGTATATAGACCAACTTCTTGGAATGATACCTAAAGAAATGGAGTAGGAGGGAGATAATGTTACTACACATTATTTTTACATGTACATGTACTTAACTGACGCCAAATATGTCATTTTCATATGTACATGCATTGTAAAAGCATGTATACATGTAAATTGACAGTGAAGTTTAAACACAAACAAATATTGGATATGTACAATAACATTGCAAAGAATAGAAAAACAAAACAGATTAGTCTACATCTTATACTGAAATAAGTTACAAAACAAAAGTCCTTATAAAATATAAGCATAAAGGTAGTACAATGGAAGCATAATTCATGGCTGGGGAAATTTCTACAATTGCAATTTGTCGTAATCAACCTCACAAGAGATGGGGAATTTTTAATTCATGCATCAATCATGCTACAGTATTGATCAACTTCCTTCCCTCTTTCTTACCTTTGGCTAAATCACTAATCAGCGTACGAAGGTAATTGGTCTGTTTTCTTTTGGTCTCGCAAACCTCAACGACATTCATCAAATCGTTCCTGACAGTCGCCAGTAGCTTAGAACCGCTTGTGATCTCCCTCTCAAAAAACCTAAACAGAGGATCCTTGATGTTATCGGCTGTTCTTCGTAAAACGTTCAAAGATTGAGGAATGATCTTCAACCAGTCAAGAGCAGTAACGTGTAGAGTTCTCATCCACGCTGGGCGACCATCACTCTTCTTAGACAAGTTCTCACTGTGTGAAAGTAAAGGAGGAATCAATCAATGAGAGGTCATTTGATAATTAATTAATAATCAATAATAATAGATCATGTGATAGTCATGTGACGTGTGTGTGTCCAAGCGTCCAGTAACATCATTCAATGGCACATGTCACTGGATAGAAGACACATTAATTAATTAATAATTATTGGTGTATGCGACGGGAACGACAACTGGACACTAACGCAAGACCAGCTGTAACTTTGAGTCGCAAAAAAGTAAATAAAATTATTTTATTTTTATTTCTTACGTTATTGTGGTACCAACTGAAGAAAGGAAGTCATCGTCATCACTTAGCGACTGCATTTTAAGTAGTTTAGCAGTCAGGGCTGATCCTTTGGTAGTTAAGAGAACAACTTCGGCATTGTTAGGGAGACCAAGCCAAGATGGAGTCTGGTGAACTGGGAGGTTCTCAATCCATTGCAGGAACTGCTCACGTCTTTAAAAAATAATAAAACGTTAAATCATAAAAATTTAATAATTATTTAGAAATTAAATATTAATGTTAAGAGCTCAGATATAGCAAATGTCGCCAACTGCCAAGTCGGCAGTTTCGCCTGCCCTCATTCCGGCAGGATCTGGACCCCTGCGATCTCATCATTGCTCTTGTGGGTGTGGTTAATTGGTAGGCATGGTCTTACCTTATGCCTTCGGGGATGGGAACGTTGCGGATTCCATCGACATTAGAGACGAGAGGGAAATCAACTTCAAAGCTTTTGACACTGAAGAGGCGACTCACAAATGAATTAAGTAACCTCTGAATAAAAGGAAGGAACATATAAAATATGTAATGAAAATTTCGGGGCTGTTTTTGATAAAAATATGCCTGTACTATAGTACACAAATTTTTGTGCAACTTTAAAAATTTGTAAAAAATTCAAACTTGATTGGAATCAGCTCAAACTTTCTACACAACATAAGAACATGTATATGCATCAGAAAATTTTATAAAAATTGAGAATTCTCTACTTGAAATTTTTGGCAAAATTTGACCGACGCCCCTGTACTATAGTACAGGGACTTTGGCCCAATTTTTGAGCAACTTAAAAAATTCGTAAAAAATCTAAATTTGATCGGAATCAGCTTAAACTTTCTACACAACATAAGAACATGTATATGTATCAGAAAATATTATAAAAATTGAAAATTATTTACTTGACATTTTTGGCAAAATTTGGCTGACGCCCCTGTACTATAGTACAGGGACTTTGACCCAATTTTTGAACAACTTAAAAAATTCATAAAAAATCCAAATTTGATCGGAATCAGCTCAAACTTGCTACATAACATAAGAACATGTATATGTATCAGAAAATATTATAAAAATTGAAAATTATTTACTTGACATTTTTGGCAAAATTTGGCTGACGCCCCTGTACTATAGTACAGGGACTTTGACCCAATTTTTGAACAACTTAAAAAATTCATAAAAAATCCAAATTTGATCGGAATCAGCTCAAACTTGCTACATAACATAAGTACATGCATATGCATTTACCTGATCAAAATCATTATCAATACGTCCGCCATAAATACACTGAGAGAGAAGAGTACGGAAGGCACTCCAGGGTATCTTATCAGGTGGTAGGTTAGTCCTCCCTTGGGCCACAGTATCCAACCAGGTGTCAAGAGTATCGCACGCCATCCTCAAATCAGACTCGTTAAACTCGTACCTAGGGGCGGGGCCAATAAACAAACCACACCCATTAACACACTGACTTTTTCGTCCAACCAAGCGGGGCGTATCTCAGCCTCTCTTGTAAGATGGCGTGTAGCCATGCCAGTAAGAAATAAAGTCGGGCCCTTTCGTGTGGTTCCCTACACATTCTAGTGACTGGTACTGTAGCAAAGGTTCTAATCAGGTTGGCCTTGATTCCAGGCGGAGGCTCAAACGTCAGGATCTGTGAGGTTCTCAAAAGATTAACGGGGATCTAAAGTGGGTGTGGTTAAAATATAGGCGTGGTTAAGACTGTATAAGAAGGCATGGCTTACCTTAGG